CCCTGTCTCCCCGCCACCCATAATACCTACATCCTATTCATCTTTCTTTCTGGGCGTTTGAAACACCTTTCTCCCCATATCTCCGTTATTTCTTTCTCTCCACCATTTTTAGGCAGCCCTTTCAGTCCCTTTTTTGAATATAAAAGGATTTTGCATGCTCCTAAATAAACAATGAACAAACCGTCACCACCTTAGTCATTTATTTTAAGGAGTGTCTTAATCTTACTCCTAAATAAAAAAAAAACACGAGGATGATAATTAATTCTGCCCTCACACCCCCAACTAGGAGTCTCTTCTGTCACAACCACTCTCGCCATAATATTTTCTTCATAATAATTTCAAATATCTTCTGTTGTGAAATAATACTTTATCTTCTTATAAAGGACCCTTATTTTCCTCCTTCATAAAATCTGATCCTCATTTTATTTCCATCATAGAATCATAGAAAAGTGAAGTTGGAAGGGGGCCTACAAGGCCATCAAGTCCAACCCCCTGCTCAAGGCAGGAATACAAATAAAAGATTACCTGCTAGGTGATTATCTAACTTTTTCTTGAATGCTTCCTGTGGTCATTGGTTCCACTGTTATACTGCTCTAACAGTTACGAAGTTTTTCCTGATATTCAATGGAAATCTGACTTCCTATAACTTGAGCCCATTGTTGCGTGTCCTGCACTCTGGGATGATGAAGAACTGATCCTGCCCCTCTGTATTTCAAATACTATCAAGTATTTGAAAAGTGTTTTCATATCACTCCTCAGTCTTCTTTTCTCAACATCCCTTACTTCCTCTGTTTCCCTTCCTCCATTCCCTCCTGCAGTCATTTCTCCCTAAGTATTAATGGGATATTCATCTCCATATTTATTTACTTTGCTAACTGTTCTCTCTTTCCATCCCAGATTTCTTCCACACACACCCTTGCTTTGATTTGCTGTTAAGCACTCAGTGTTTTCCCTTATTCTCTTTACTCATCACAGTCTGCAGCCCAAGAATATTTTATTCCTTTCTCAATGCCCCCTCTTTTGCATTCCCACCACAGCTTCCCTCTCTCAAATCACTAATTTGCTTCAGTCCCTCTTTACTTAGGGAGGGATATTTCTCACAATTCTTTTTTCCCCTCGTTTGTTTCCCAGCCCATCCACTCAGATTTATTTAATTGCCCACCTCAGTTGTTTTCTGCTCCTCTTTCTTTTCTTACTTCCTAGTTGCAACCCACCCTCTCAATATTTTTGCTCACAATTTCCTAGTGATGCAAATTTTGTCCCTTGCTTACACAATACCTTGAATCATAGAATCATAGAATAGTGAAGTTGGAAGGAGCCTATAAGGCCATTGAGTCCAGTTAAAATGCTCCCAAGTGAGCTTTTGAGATCCTGGACACATTTTAGCAAGCTGAGTAGAACGAAAAAGTAGGGGTCCTGAAAGTTTGCACACTTCTGTGGTGTCCTGCATGATCCCAGTAAATAAGGTTGAATCCTATTGTAGATTATTTCTTCTCTCATGCACCATCATCTGTTGTTTGTGATCTGTGGGACCTTAAATACTACGATTTGTCATGCTATCAGCTTTTGTGATGCTCTATCAAGAGCATAGACGAAGTTGTTCCTTCATGCATATCTGCTCCTTAAGATCATCACCATTATTAAATAAACCCGGCATAAACAATATGGCTAACTGTTGTAAACACACCCTCCTACCACAGCTATGGAAATATTTTCCTCCCCGCCCCCCTTGTGGATTTTTATATCCAGTTTCTTTTAGCCTGCTAAACTGTATGCAGAGAGAAATCAGAGATCTTGTAACACCTTTCAGGCTAACTCGTTTTTATTTTCCTTAAAAGCTTTTGTGCATCCAAGCACACTTCTTCCGAAGACTTCTGGTTTCTCTTGTGCTACGACAGGCTAACACAGCTACCGGCTAGATTACTTTATGCAAAGATGAATCTACTGTAATTTTCTACAGAGTGAGCAGTCCTCCTTCAGTTACCACAAAATGGGCAGCCTTGGGGTTTCCGTTTCCTTTAGCCTCCTGTTGCTTCCTTTGCACTGGCATTTTGATGTCGACCTGTGAGTGGGAAGGAGAAAGCGTGCGCCTGCGTGGAAGTTCCATGTGCTAGGAGAGAGGCTCATTCTGTGAAATGAAAGGCTAGTTTTCTTGAGTGGATGTAACAGCTCTGTAGAAAGGTAATACTTTACTGTCTGGGATGTGTTTGTGTGTATACAACTCTAAAAGTTGTATATTGTGGCAAATCATATTTTATTTGTTGTAATAGGCCGTAGAACACTTCATGTATTAATTAAAGTCAGTGTTTATCTGCTGCTTAACCACCTCAGTGCTCTCTCAGAGCAGCTTATGGCAATAAAGGTAAATGAATCTAAAATGTGTAGATGTGAAACTAACAGATGGAACAAAAGATGTAGCTTGATAGAAGCCATCCTTGCTACACCCAGTCAAAATTCAAGGGAGGGTTTTAACAGTTCTTCTGAAGGTTGGGAGTGGATTAGGCAGGCTTCCTGGAGGTGGGAATTACCAAAAGCACCAAGCTCAAACTTGAGAAAAACCTTACTTCTCAGTGCTGCTGTATATACTTCAGTTAAGTGAACTCATATATGAATGGGTTCTACCTCTACAGGTAAGAATGGGCATGGGGCACATTTCAGCAGTTTGAGTGAAGGCTGGCTGGGGCTGT